CTGTGTGACGAAGCGCCCAGGTCTGCACAGTGGGCGTCAGGAACACCAGTCGACATGCCTGTGTTTGCTTTTCAGCTCCCTTTGTCGCTGCTGAAGACGGCCCAGAATCACCCCATGGTAAGTGTGCTCCTTCAGGAGAGCCACGAGGTGGAGGGGACCCCAGGGCCTGCGACACCTGGCTTGCAGGTACACAGCAACCTCTTCCTCCTACACACGTGTGAACACGTGCACGTGGTGGGATGGATGTGGTTCTGCTGGGTACAGAAGGGATGCGCACCCAGTGGGGAGAAGCCCCCTCCCTCACCCTCCCCTTCCTATCCCCCACCCCTTAGCTGGTTCCAGGATGTGCACGTAGTTTCCTTTACACAGACGGGGTCTCTGCAAATTGTGTTCACTAGATAACAGTCTACATGCGTGGAGATGCGACCTTTCAGGCGCACAGGACAGTGGCCTTTAGCTACATCCTCAGGGCATGCAGCTTTGTCACCAGCCAACTAGGGAACCTTTTCAGTGCCCCAAGAGGAAGCCCTGTGCCCGTCAGCGGTCACGCGCAGCCCTTGGCAGCCCCTCATCTTTTTGCCTCTGGATGCACCTGGAATGGCCTGTCTGCACACTTCTCACCTGTGTGACCATGCAGCACGTGGCCTTTGTGCCTGGCCTCTCACAGCGAGTGTGTCACAGTCTCTTGTCACTGGCCCCAGCGGTTCCTTCTGCCTTTGGCTGTGCTGCTGTGTGCTGCCTGGAACTCCGGTCCACAGTCGGTCCCCATCTCTCCTTTGCGCCTGGAAGTAGCCGCCTTGCAGCCACTCTGGCTCAAGGCGATGCCGAGTGCTGAGTGGAACGGGACTCCGAGGGGTATTCGAGGCGTGCCCTCCTGGGAGCAGATTGCCAGGACTGTTCTGAGGGGCCTCTGGCTGGGTTCAGCCCTCTGACTTGTCAGCTGCCCGAGACCCCAGAGAAGCTGCGTGTGGGAAGGACGAAGGCTGCCGATCCCTCAGGTGCCCAGCCCAGCAAGCCCCTGACCACCAGGTCTCTTCCAGCTGGTGGAGCTAAAGAACGGCGAGACCTACAACGGCCACCTGGTGAGCTGTGACAACTGGATGAACATCAACCTGCGGGAGGTCATCTGCACGTCCCGGGTGAGCACCACCAGCCCCTCCCATCTCACCCTGTGAGGTACAGGGGTGGGTTCTGAAGTGCACTCTTGACCCGGGGCCTTAGTGAGCCTCTGCCTGCCTTCGTAAGTGGGGTTGAGGGCTCCCCAAGCCTGTGGGCAGAGATGGGGTGCTGCTTATCCTTACACATAGCATGTGTCATTATTCTGGGAGCACCTGCATGGGGAGCCTGAAGAGGAGGTCCTCAGAGCACCCCGACTTTGCCCTTGGGGGGTGCTGGCAGGTGTGTGGCCAGGACAGCCGGGGTGGGCCTGAGACCCAGAACTGTTTGGCTGGGACGGCTCCAGATGTTTGGGGTCATCTGCCCTCCCACTGACGCGCTGAGAACAGGTAGTGAAGACGAAGTTTCAGGTCAGTTCCTGCTTCTGGCTGGGCTGGGCTGGGGGGCTACTGCCCCTTGGACTCCCCATATAGCAGGCTGCAGCCTGAGCTATCTTTCCAGCCAAGGCCCCCCACATGGCAGCAGATATGGAGTGCCCTGTTGGCATCTGGACCATGGAGTCTGGCAGTAACAGATGGTGCTGCCAGGTGGGATCACAGTTACACCTCCTTCCACTCCGGAACTGGCAATGCTGGCTCAGAAGCCTGGCTCGAGAGTTGTCTAGATGGCTCCAGGTTGCAGACAAGTTATCAGAGACTGCTGGACAGTCCTGAGGATGAAGGTCACCTCTCTGGTCAGCTGTGTGTCTGGACAGATGGCCTCGCTGACTGAGCAGGGCTGTCCCCACCCTCATCTGGAAAGGTCTGTGTGGAGGGGGGTGCCAACAAACCCAGGGACAAGGGAACATGTGATGTAAAATTGATGTCGAGGAGGGCATAGGATGCCTGGTGGGGCCTGATCAAGGGCAATGTAGCCGAGAGGAATTACTGAAACCCAAATGAAGGCCCAACATGATTGTGGGACAAGAGGAAAGTAAAAGGAAATAGAGGA